AGCGATATTGCAGATTTTCCACAAGTGCACACTTTCGGCACAGCGGAAGGGTTAAAGCTGACTTCGTGGATGCTCGAGCGAAGACTACTGCATTTGAAAAGGCCGGTTCACGTTGACAGCTAATTGAATTCGAGCTGACTCCAGCTTAATTCCAATTCGATCTTCGCCGAGACAAATTTGAACGGAAGTAACTTGAGAGGCGAGGGGGTGGTAATTTGACCTCGAACTTACTGTCAGAAACGCGCCGAGTATAGGCGCGTATGGATCCTGGTGGCGAACAATTAGCGTGGAAGCGATTCGGCCCGCCGTCAGAGATAATTACGGCGTGGAGAGAGAGCCCGAATGCCACGGTAGCATACATTTCGCCAGAGGATCTCCAGCTTATGAGATGTCGGACATCCGTGCCAATTTCGACCGACAGATGGGAGGATGCAAGCATTTCACCACGTAGTAGGAGTTCGATTCTATCGTTTCGGCATTTCTAGTATTAACTCCCCTCCTCCTGCCCCCTGGTATCGGGGAGGATCTCCAGTCGATAGCTATGCGCTCGAAAACCATCCTTACTCGATTCTACCTCCGTCCTATCCTCCAGACGAAAGCCGAAGTTAATTCCCCCCCCCCTCTCCCCCTGAAATTCGACCGAAGTCGCAGCCCGTTATATTTCGCGACTCAATCCGGAATCGATTGTCCCCCATCCGTGAAGCCATTTAATTGCGATTGCCCCGGCAACGGTTCAACCAAAACGTGCCAAATCTAGACTACGCACGAGCAGGCGGCAAATGCTCGCGTCAATTCCGCGAGATTTGATGGATTTTCAAATTGGTGGGGGGGGGAGGAGGGGGAGGGGGAAAGCGGTATCCTACATGTGCAATTAAATATGTAACTTCGTGTTCGAATAATTATTCGTCGGGGGTGGATCGGCATGCTGGATACATTCCATTGGCGAAATCTCTTCACTCGTGGCTGGGCCAGTGAATTTATGGCCGCGAGAAGAGTCGGGCCAAGTCCCAAGGAAGACAATCGGACGCGTCATTGAAATTAATTAAATACAGAAATTCGCGAACGTCCTGCCGAACCGTTAATTAACAAGCTGTCCAATTTTATTCCACCACGGCTACAGTTTTATCGTTATTATCCAAATGAAATACAAGTACTGACAGACGATGTCAGTGTGCTTGCAACACGCACACTGACAGATTGAAAATTGTTAAGTTAATTCGGTTTCAATTCTCGCCGGGGCCTCGTACAGCCTCGTTGAAGTTTTTCTTTTCTTTATTTCTTTCTTTTTTTTTTTTTTTTTTTAGAAATAATGAAGGACTTATCCGCGCTGCGGTACAGTTTTGTGTATCTCGGATTTCCCAAGAATTCTAGAGCTGCGGGATAATAACCGAAAGTGAAAAAGAAAAAAAGAAAAAAAGAAAAAAAATCCCTGACATTTCGACGAGCTGCTCTGGTATTAAAATTGCACTCGAGTTTTTGCATTTTTAAGCTTAAAGAGGCTACAAGTGACGCTGTAAATAACCCAGATCGCTGATCCGGTATTCGAGCATTGATATTCAGCTTGCTGGAAGACTCTGCTCTCCCCAGATTGAGCTATTCGAACCATCGACGAATACTTTTCTTCGTGATCCTAATATTCCAGAAATGACTACCTACAATTTAATAGACGCGGCGAATATCCATGTTCTACTTTCGTAGCTTGGGAAATGATCAAACCGACACACACACACACACACACACACACA